AAAGAGAAGATGATAGATAACATTTCAGAGAAGATTCACAAATTGTCTCCAAGTTGCAGATTTGTTTTTGCTAAACTGTGGGACTGCTTTTGAAAATGAATACAAGCAGTAGATTTCTGACTTGTGGCGTTTCGTTTCTCTCCTGCTCTGTAGCCTCACTTGATGTTAGCACAAAAGACCGTGATGCTTTCCACACATTGCTTCACTTGCAGACGTTCACAACAAATGAGTGATTAGCCAAAGAAATGAAATTATAGAAGTAATGGGACTTTGACTATCCAGGTTAAACTAAACAACAAAGATCTAACCCTGCTATCTGCTTCTTGCTTTCGTCAACTGATTACCTAATGCTCTAATGACTTGTCTCCCTCTTTCCATTTTTATTCTAGCTAACCTTTTTTGCATACACTAATTTAGTACCCTTCTCTAGTTAAATTACTAACACATTTTCCTCTAGCTCAAGTCTCTCCCTGCCTTTGATGTCTCATTGTAGGTAGGTGCCTCCCACCAGGCAAGCTCTGTGCGACTGACACAGCTGTCAGCCTGCTGCCCTCCCAGTGCTGCCTGTCAGGCCCACAGTCTGGCCATTTCGGCAAGTGAGGCTTTTGGACAATGTCTCAGCCTTAAAAACTCTTTTTCTATAGCACTTCTAAAAAAATTTCAATGCAGAAGTTTTTATATGCAGCTTATTCAGCCTCTCATCTTCTCTTATCTCAGCGACAGCACCATCCTTTCCTCTGGCCTTGACAAATAGCGTTCTGCCCCACTTGTAGCTATCGAGGATACTGCTGAAAAGATCACTTTCTTTTGTCATCCCTCTCTCGCATCCTTCTTTTTTCTATATTGCATCAGAAATAACTGTTTTTGCCTTTCAGGTCCTTTAGAGTCCAATCCTATCACAGCTATTACCACTCATTCACTGTCAAGATGCTGACTCTTGCCTTTGATCAGCCTATTATAGCAGCCTCCGCTGCCTACTTGTTAAATTTTTAAACAGCCACTTGTGTATGTACTCTTGAGCTGCCTGTCATGCTTGGAGGAGCTTCTCCATCCACAAACTTAAACTAAACAGGCACGCTCTCTCCTTCCTCTTTTCTAAACTCTGAGTTCAAAGCCCTGCATGTTGGCGTCCCTTGCTTTTTCTGCCTGTCCAGAACCGTCCGCAGCATAAGTAGGTGGATGCCTGAAACATCTTACTTCCTCATGGGCATCTATCACAAGAAGCCCAGTGAGGTGCCTCTCTGGCCCCCAGCATTAGCAGCATTCCCTGTTGCCAGATGCAGCAAGTGCACGGGACCACGGGTCGTTAAGAAGCCTGTAGTAAGGGCTTAGTAATTTTCTGATGACACCTTGCAATTACCAGTACTTATTAAAGTACATAATTAAAGTACCTATTCCTGCTCAGCATGTAAAGGAATCCCTTTAACGGGCCATTCTGCAGATTGGCAATAGCCTAAGATATGTTTTCCTGTCTTTGACCAAGAAAAAAGGAGGAGATGCATCTGTTGCCACTTTTTCCTACTATATACTACCATATCCAATTGACTTTAGCACAATAAGAAAACAAGAACACGGCCTTACTTTGCTGTGTGTGGTGAAGCGGCAGAAGAGAGACAGCTCCTCACCATACATTTTAGATAAACACAAGAGACAAAGAGGACAATATCTTGCCAGAAGAGTATGATGACGCTTACTGAATTCAAGCAAACTCAAAAGCCATTTTAGGTAGGTTTAGACGGAAGGAAATAAGTTTAGTGAAAAGCAAAATGAAATAGAGAGAAGAGTAGAATCTGTGAAGGGAAGGAGGTGTGTCAAGGCAGAGAAAAAGTCAGCACAACACGAAGAAGTCTCATTTTGCTCAAAATCCAATCTAATCCTGTCTATCCTTTTGTACAACTGACTCCTACCTCTAGAGGGTTTATTTTTGTCCCTGACTTCCGCTCTTC